AAAGGAGGCAAGATGGAAGGAGGATTGGTAGAAAGAGCAAGACTCCATGTTGGTGCTGTTCTGGGTTGGATCTTTTCATAAAAAAAACTCGTCTAGCCGAAACAGATTTGGCTCAGTGGATAGAGCATCTGCCTGCAGACTGAAGGGTCTCAGGTTTGATTCTGGGCAAGGGCATGTACCTTGGTTGCGGGTGCATCCCCAGTGCGGGGTGTGCAAGAGGCAGCTTATCGATGTTTCTCTCTCATTGATTTCTAACTCTCTATCCCTCTCTCTTCCTCTCTGTAAAAAAAAAAAATCAATAAAATATATATTTTTTAAAACACACAAAAAAACTCATCTAACCTCAAGACAACTAGGCAGACTTGCAAAAACCATATGTTTGACTATAGAGCATGAGGATTTAATGCTTTCATTTTAAAAACTATCCATAGAAGCAATCTCCCAGATTCATGAATAGCATCCTCACAGGCCTCTCTACTTGGAATTTAGGTGACACTAACAGCAAATAACAGCGGTGCCATTTGTGGATGTGGACACAAATCTGAAGGCCTAACAGGGTAGTGTGTGAGGAGGAATATGATTACTCCATCTTCTGCCTGGCAGGGCACTTTGGCATCATCAGCACAGCCCTGGGAACACCCTGCCTTTAATCCTGGAGGAGGGGAGGGGATGAGAGGAGAGGAAGGCAAAGAATGTCATCACTCAATGAGATCAGAATGGGGTGACATCCAGCCAGGGAACCAAGAAAATTACTGTGTTCCTGGATTTTTGCATGGGATTGCTGCTGGGCCTAGGCCTTCATTTAATCATAGAGACCTGGGTTCCTTTCCCTGCTCTTCTACTTGTCAGAGAAGTAAGATTTGATTCTTATTTGGATCCATGTAAAGTGAGCTCGATCTGTTGAATGAGCTAATAAAATGCAATGGTATCCTTAAGCTATTTTGAGTTGTTTCTATCTCATGCAAACAAAAAAGACCCGTTGACCCCCTATCTTCACAAAAGTAAGAGAGTTGTACCCCAACATGCTCAGCACAGAAGACTGGAGAGTTTAGGACAACGGAGCCCAGATGGTATTTGAACATCTCAGTCTCCTGTAGAGGAGACTGACTGGGTTTGCATGAGCAGAGGCTGCCCCTCTACAATGAACTCAGTCCTGATGTCTATTAACTTGTGGGAAATCCCAGGAGGGAAACCATCTCTTCATTGTGTGAGCAGAATCCCTGGGTAGACTTTGAAGGCAGTTTTGGAGTCTGACCTGGGTTTAGGCCCTGTCTCTGACCCTCCCTAGTATGGCCTCAGGAGAAGAAAGCTCAGTTTCCCCATCTGAAAAAGTGGCAGGCGAGATGGCGCTGAGCTACACATACCAACTTCCTAGCACAAGCGAGGAGGAAACCCTTCATGTTGGCCTTTGCAATTTCAAACAAGCATAGCAAAGAGGAAGGAAATGATTAAAGGAAAGGGAAACCACTGGCACAAAGCATTAAGGGGCGTCCTGCCAGGAGTTTTCTGCATCCCTGTGTGCCTTGCACTGTTCCACAGAACGGCCACCTCAAACGTGGCTCTAATCATGTCAGCCCCCGCGGGAGGCCCTCTGATGGCTGCTGCTGCTGACAAGATAAAAGCCAAACACCTTAGCCTGGCACCTGCAGGCCTTAAAGAGCCCTCACTCCACTGGCTACCTCTACAGTCCATCCTGGCTGCCTCAGATGCCACGGTGGATCACAGACAGGCCTGAACTCTGTTAGTGCCACCTTCCTAAACCAGCCCTGAGTTTATTGGAAGTGGATCTAACATAATCATGACTATAATACAATCAATCCCAATGCAGTATATGGAGGGTCCAGTAACTCTCACTACTTGCTTTTCAAAGAAGTATCTAATATGTAGAACTGTAAACCATAAGTGAAATATGATATATCTCCCATTGGCCAAAAGCCCTACCACTCCCTATTGTACCATATGCTCTGTGTCATCTTCTACTCTGTATCTCTATAAATACAGATATGAGTGGGTAAGAAAACTGTTTTCAGTCTCTTCTTGAATGATTAAAAGCCAATATTCCTATAAAGTTCCTTATTAATATTGAGGACCTGGATAGCTTTATTTATATCTTATTTTAAATACATGTTCAATTTGACAAGTAATACATGGATACATTCTCAATGAAAAATTCAAATAATCCAGAGAAAGAAAAAAGTCTCTCAAGACTTTTCCTGCCCAGTCAGTGTGGCTCAGTTGGTTGAGTGTTGTCCCATGCACCCAAAAATATTGCAGATTTGATTCCCGGTCAGGGCACATACTGGGCTTGCAGTTTGATCCCCAATTGGAGAGCATATTGAACACACCAATTGATGTGTTGTACTGTTCTATATCTTCTTGTTAACAGTATGTGTTGTAGAATTTTTTCATGTCAAAACATTAGGATTTACTCCATTCAAACTGCTGCATAATATTTATAATATGATGTATCATAATCTGTTTGACTTACAGGATCACAAACTGGAAAACCAACAGCCACATCTGGACTTACATATGTGTTTCATTTGCCTAGAATCACATGTTGTCTATTATAAACTGAATGCAAATGTTTTTAGGTAGAGTAAGCAACCAAACTTGCACACAGGCCCAACCTTCCCTACTATTTTATAGGTAGTCTGCTTTATACACTTTTATTATTTTGAGAGCTCAAACCCTATATTCTAGCTATTATTTGTTCTGTACATATTTTAAAAAATTTAAGAAAGGTATTGCTATCATGAACAATGAATAGCCATATTCAGGCCTCTCTGTTTTCATTTACCTAAGGTATATGCAATACCTGGGCTTGCTTAATGGGTGGCGGGCAGTGGGAAGGGGCGGGGGAGAGGAATGAAAGAGGTCACACAACTGAAAATGCATTTAGAAGACATGCATAAGATTATTAAGTGGAGGAAATCAGAGAGGTCCATGGAGAACTGTCACACAGGTGCTCTGGACACAGGGAGAGCCTCCTGCTTATGACCTGTAGCTGCTGAATATCACACTATCCATCCCATGTTCCTGTTAGTTGTCAGCAGGGAAAGCTCATACACAAACAATTGCTTGGGAATAAGCTGCTTGCTATCCCAACCCCAGCTCTGAATGGGCTGCAGAGGAGAAGGGGAGGGGGGCAGGCTCAGGACCCTGACATTCATCACACTCTGGAGTGTTTCTCCAGCCTGCCTCCTGGATTCATGGCTTGGCAAGCCTCGGGCCATAGCTAATGGACTTTCTTGGCCAAGGTCAGTCTGAAGGCTGGCCTCCTGTTTAGGAAGCTAATGGTGCATGAAAGCTGCCCCGTGGGCAGCAGGCTCCATCTGAGCTGCCTCTGGGGCTAATGGCTTAGGTGAAGGCTGATCTGAGACTGTGGAGTGAACCGAGAGAGGTGGTGCTGAGAGGGGGGCCAGTGTGAGGTATAGGTTGGATAACTCAGGAAACCATACCTTCCTAGGGCTTCTGCTGCATACACCGCTGTGAGCATGCACTGGTCTCTGTCTCTGTCTCTGTCTCTGTCAGCTTGGACTGCCCTGACAGAGCACCAGAGACTGGGCGGATTAGAAAATAGGAATTTATTTCTCACAGTTCTGGAAACCAGAAATCCAAATCAAGGAGCCAGCAGGGTGGTTGTTGGTGAGAGCCTCTCTTTGGCTGTGGTTAGCCTCCTCCCTTCTGTGTCCTCATATGATCTTTCCTCAGTGCACTCAGGGGGAGAGAAGGAGGGACTGGAGGCAAAGGGAGCGCTGTTTGGTGTCTCTTTGGATAGAACAATAATCCCATCATGAGGGCCCTGCCCTATGACCCTCTCTAAACTTAATTACCTGCCAACGGTCCCATTGCTACATACAACCACATATGGGGTCAGAGTTTCATAAACTATGAAGGAGGGACAATTCCATGTATAGTGATCTGGTAGGAATATATGCCAGGTCAACCCAAGGTATAAGAAAGTTGCAAGGCAATAAGTTATCTGCCCCAGCCAGGAGATCCCTTCTGGGTAATGTGAGCAATGGTGGACGGTGTCCACAGCAAGTCCTTTGATACCGAATGGACTGTGAATACAAGTCTGAGCCTACATGTCTTTATCTTGGGTTTAAGACCAATTTCCTCTAATGAGGAGCTTTCTGGGCTTTGTGAAATGATTTAAATGGTCTAAGCCCAATTTTCTCACCTATGAAATGGGAGTAATAAAAGCTGCTCCAGGGATTAAATGAGACAATAAATGTTGAAATTTGACACATTGTCAGGCACTAGTCTTGGTTGCACAAATCTGTATGTATAGTGGGGAAAAACAAGGAAGAAGAAGGCTGTAATTAGCAGTTCTACCTTTTCATAAATTGACTCAAAACTTTAAAGGAAGTTCTAGCCTGTGTTCTCAGTGGTTAGAGCATCAGCCCTCACACCAACCAAAAGTCACAGGTTTGATTCCCAGTCAAGGGCATATACCAGGCTTGCAGGTTTAATCCCTGACCCCAGTGGGGCATGTGCAGGAAGCAACCAAGTGATATATCTCTCTCACATCAATGTTTCTCTCTCTCCATTCCTCCCTCCATTCTACCCTCTCTAAAAATTAATGGAAAAAATTATCCTCTGGTGAGGATCAACAAAAAAAAATTAAGGAAAAAGACACCCTCAAAAATGTCTTCATTGTTTTTGCTTTCTCAGTGTTCACTTAATCATGATCAGTGCATGGGCATTGCATATGGCCCTCCTCTTTTTTCCTGGAAAGATTTTTATAATGTGTTAAAAATATTAATTATCCTCTTCACCTTAAACACAGGACCAGAAAAACAAATTTTATTGCTCTGCCTGGTGGAAGCAAAAGTGCCTGTGTGTGTGTGTGTGTGTGTGTGTGTGTGTGTGTGGTACCAATTGTCCCCTCAGGTCAAAACAAATTATTGATGCCAGTTCCTTTAAAAAGACAATTAATCCAATTACCTTCTTGTTGAATCAATCCTAATGTCTTTGTTTTCTTTAACTTGCAGGATTCAGCAAGCCTGGCTGCCAGCAACACCGAGGTAGGAAATGAGGTCTTTCTGTCACTTTGGAGGGCATTTTGAATAGTTCCTTTGGGGTTTCAGGGAAATCGGTGTCTGGCTATAACTCCTCTGTGTGACCTCTGGCGGTTTGGATGCTGCGCTCTCACCCGGTTGTTCCTGTGTTGTTGGGTTTGGGGCCAACCTGGCCGCTGTGCTGGACTTCATGGTGGAGTGTGTGCTGAGTAGCTTGGTAAAGACAGTTAATGGTCTCCCAGCTGGGTCTCCTGCTCATTGCTATCATGGTGGCCTCAGGGTCTGTCTGTATACTGGATACGATTCTTGCTCCATTGAGACAAGCCTTTGCTTTGGTAGTGACTCTTCCCTCTGTCTTTAGTGCTTTCTGTTCCCCCTCTTTTTCCTCTCCCTGAGCATCCTCGGGGCATGAAGAAAACTATGGCTGATGCTGAAAACATAGGCAAAGAATTTTTAATAGTTGCTGGTTGGAAGTCACCAGCAAGGAGACCATCCATTGGGAATTGTAAAGGAAGAACAGGTAGAAAGTTCACTTCTGTTAAAGGGCACTAATTCTATTCACCACGCCTCCACTCTCAGGATCTAATTACAATACTTCCCAAAGGTCACGTCTCCTAATACCATCACACTGGGGGTTAGGATTTCATCATTCATTGCATAACAAAATATGAGCCAGGTCTCATTCACATCATGGCCTGGTGCATAGTGGGTGTGCAATAAATGTTAGCTCCTCGCCTCCTTAAGGCCTGATTGCTGGAATCTAGATCAGAATAGAATAGTAGGTCTCAGGCACTGTGGTCAAAACCACGGACAGCAGCCACTCCTTACAATCTTCCCTCTCCCCCTGGGAAATCTCATATTTGTGCCACATTTGTCTTTTTAAAGCAATCAGTCAACAATTGAACACCTTTACATATGTTGCCTCTTTTCAATGTTAGAAAACAGGATGTTTGTTGTAACCATTTTTTTCAGATTTAAAAATGATCTTTTGGAGAATTGAAATACTTTAAATATTGGGAAAATAGTGCTTAATTATCTAACAATTCTACTCCTAATTATATGCCCAAGAGAAATGACTGCTTATATCTACCCATAAATATATGTAATAATTTTCATAGAAGCTTTATTTATCACAGCCCCAAAGTAGGAACAAACCAAATTCCCAATTAAGGGGATAATAGGTCAATAAATAGCGGTATATTCATGCAATTCAAGACAACAATAAAAAAGAATTGTCTATAGATATGTATAACAGCCTGTATGAATCTCAGAGGTGTTGGTGAAAAATTATCAGAAGAAAAGAACACATCCTGTATAGTTTTATTTATACACATATGCAAAACACTCCTGTCTGGTGATAAAAGTAACAATAGAGGTTATGTCTGTGTCAGGCACAAGAGAACCTGTTGGGTGATGGAGAATATGCAGCACCTTCATCTGGATGCGGTTGCATAGGTAACTATCACATGTTAAATGTATAGTGCTACTCATAAGGTGGATGTGCTTTATATTAGGTGATTCTATATAATAAAGAGGTAATAAGCAAATTAACTCTCACTCCCTCACAAGATGGCTGCCTATGCCCAGGTCAGCAGGGGCATTAGTGAGGGATGACCAAATGACTTAACAAGTAGGCTGCATGGGGCGACCAGGCCAGCAGGGGTTTGGAAGCATGAGGAGCAACCAGGCTGTCAGGAGGGGCAGTTTGGGGCAACCAGGCAAGCAGGGGGTGCAGTTGGGGGGCGATTAGGTTGGTAGGGGGGGCAATGAGGGGTGAGGAGGCCAGAAGGGGAGGCAGATGGGGGTGACCATCATGGCAGGGGGGGGCAACTTGGGGCAACCAGGCTGGCAGAGGGGCAGAAAGGGGTAACCAGGTCTGTGGGGAGGGCAGTCAGGGGCAATCAGGCCAGCACTCAGAGGCAGTGAGGGGAAATCAGGCTGGCAAGGGGGGAAGTTAAGGGCAACTAGGCAGGCAGGCAGGTGAGTGATTAGGAGACAGCTGTCCAGAATTGTGAGAGGGATGTCCGACTGCTGGTTTAGGCTTGATCTCCAGGGATCCTGGATTGGAGAGGGTACAGGCTGAGCATGATGCACTAGGCCTCTAGTTTTTATATAAGAAAAAAATGAAGCTGCTTGCAAAAAAAGAAGAATCACAAACACAAAACAGTATAAAACAGGATAATGAACAAGGAAGATGAACAGGTGGTATGGAGGAAATGAGGAAGTATAGCAATGCTCAGTATAGAGACAATACTTGCAGATCAAAATAACCATTCATTCACTCCAGAATCCCATTTTCCAGATAGAGCAAGTTAAAAATCACCCCAACTTTTTCTTTCTCCTAACCACCCTATATACTAAAAGCATAGTATTCAAATTGTACCCTTGACTGGGAGTTGTCTGGGAGTTCAACCAGGTGGTGGAGTCAGCCAGGGGAAGGGAGGGAGGCCCTGGCCAACAGCTGGAAGCTGCTAGGGACTCTTCCAGTGCATGAATTTCATGCACTGGGCCTCTAGATGTTTATAAGGCTGAATTGTAATTGCTGTAGCCGAGACCATATTTTTTTGGCACTACTACAGGGAGGTAACATTTTATTAATTGAATTTCTAATGCTAATTCATCAAAGAAAGCAATCACCATTATTTAGTGCATGATCCATATTCATGGCAGGTTCTGTTAGGTAAATAATAGTGGCTCTGGAGAAATGCCACTTCTGTGGGGTCCTTTTCCTTTTCAGGTTTCTTTCTTTTCCTTTTAAGTATAGACAAACAGTTGTAATTTAAGCAGAACAAACCCCACCTGTGGAGGAAACACTGGGTAAAGAGAGGCAAGATGAATTGCAAACCCACAGAATCAGCAAGAAAGAATGGCTTTGCCAGTTCCCTTTCTCTGCAGATTGACAGTGAATATGTGAAAACGTTTGCTAAATCTGGACTTTGAAAACATGACAGCAAGCTGTTTGTGCCAGTAATTTTTCATGGCATATGCACCACACACAGTTTTAATAAGATGGCACATGGACTACTGAGAAATGTTCAAATCCTGCAGAGGAAAGAGCTTTATCTTCTGACCAAATTCTGCCCAGTGATGTTTATGACAGCTGAAGAATTTATCTAAAATTCCCTCTGCTAGCAGCAAAGCACATGGCCCTTTGTCCCCGAGCAGCCTGTAAGAACCAAACTAAGATGTCACATACATAATATAGCAGATAAATGGCCCAATTTCCATGTCCACATGATGAATGGAATACAAGTTCAGCACACACGTATTTGCACATTAATTGGCCCTGCATGGTTCCATTTTGTTCCTAAGTTGCTACTGTATGTCTCATGGACTCTTTCCCCTTCAGAATCATTAAGCCTATTTTATCGCACGAATGCATACACATTTTCCCCCTATTTATCGTCATGCAGCTTGCCCTGCTGAGAGAGAACCAAGTAACCTGGGCATAGCCATTGCATTGCAAATGCCTACATCTGAGTTCTCTCTGCCACCAACTGCACGTTAACACAAAGATCTGAGACCCAGCCCCATGTTGACTTTGCTGACAGCCAAACAAAGAAGGTTACATGCAAAGATGTTAAAAAAAAAATCACTTCTTTTCAGTTACCAGTTGGTTTCTTGCCTCACCTTAATGATTTCCTGTTGATAGTTTAATGGTGATATAAGCCCAGTGGAGAGCCTCAATTTTGATAAATTGGCCTGCTCCTATTTCATGGCAAAGCAGTCGCACTGAGATTGATTGATATTACAGTTTTGCTGTCCCAAATAATTGCAGTGGCAAGCTACCCAGGTAGCAAAACTCAGTGGGCTTCAGGAAGCATAGGTAGAATCTCCCTCCCACCCATCCCTTTTTCCTGGCAAGGAATCGTTTATTTTTCCCCGTCTCAGTCCTGGTTCTCAAGAAAGGAGATCCAGGGCTGCAGAAAACAGTGCTTTTGAGAAGGGACTGGTTGTTTGCTTTTGTTTTGTTATGTTATGTTTTGTCCTGGCCATTCCAATTCACTTGAGAGGCCAGAACATTTACAAGGCAAAATTGAGCTCTTGCACCAAGAGGGTTCCAGTGGAAAGAGGGTGGGCCTCAGAGTCTTGTAGACAAGGTGTGACTCATGGGTCCACCACGTACAAGTTATGTGCCTGTGGGCCAGTCACTTCACTGCTAAAGGGCCTCTTATCAGTAAAACAGGAATAATGCAACCCACCCCAAAATATTGGTTTGAATTGTAAATTTGTTAATCTGTATAAAGCAGATGCTCAGGAATTATTTTGCTTCCTCAGACAACCCTCATCTTTTATCTCTTGTATAAAGTAAGACAATAAATAAATAACCTAATTAGCAATTAATTTTGAGATCCATGATTTTGAAAACTTGCTCCAATAATTTTATGTTGTGGCTGACCTTGAACAGGCAGAAGTTTACTTACATGATATAATTCACATGGAGTGAATGGCCCTCTTTGACCCTCCCAAAGGCAGATCTACTCGAAGATCAGCAATACTTCCCAAGGAGCTCTCTTGGCCTGGCCTAGTTTTACTCAATCATACTTTGATAGTCTTTCTTGTCCTTGAAACCCAACTCGAAAGAATATTTAAAGAAACTTAGCCAAAACCGGTTTGGCTCAGTGTATAGAGCACATGTGTCAAACACAAGGCCCGCGGGCCAAATCCGTCCCGCCAGGCCTTGCAATGTGGCCTGCACCGCGCTGTCATCACTGCACTCCGCTGCATTTACATCACAATGACAGTATATGACTGTTCAGTAAACCATTCGGCCCGCGATTTAGGCTGGATTTTAGATTTTGGCCCCTTCTCTGATTGAGTTTGACACCCCTAGTATAGAGTGTCTGCCTGCTGATTGAAGGGTTCCGGGTTCGATTCCAGTCAAGGGCATGTACCTTGGTTGCAGGCACATCCCCAGTAGGGGGTGTGCAAGAGACAGCTGGTCAATGTTTCTCTCTCATCGATGTTTTTAACTCTCTCTCTCTTTCTCTCTGTAAAAAATCAGT